GTGTGTGGGGGGGGGGAGGTAAGACTCCGTCCAGCCAGTCAGACACACTGTCCTCATCTGTCGCTCCAGAGCCCCGACGCTCTGTTTCCTTAATGCTTTTAGATGCTGTTTGTTCATATTTGTGCCTCCTCATAAGTATCTATGTTTTATTCCGTTTGTTTGCATCCGACCGGGCAGCCGCTGAATTATTCAAAACGGGCCGAGCTGCTTCAAATATGACAGGAAACTTTTCTTTCACAATGCAGGGCCAGACACTTCTTGAGAGAACAAACACGCTTAGGGAGATGAAGTTTTTTTTTTTTAGGGAGTCCTGCCTGGATCATAATAGGGAGGAAACACTGATCAGACTCTGACATTTGACATGTTGCTGCTTCTCATTGTCTTACAGTTAAAAAAAACACTATTCTCTTTTGATTTTAGATTAATAGTTTGAAAAGAACATTAGGGTGGAATCTTAAACTGATATCTTTTACTATCTTCTGGTGTTTTCTAGTTACGATGAAAAACAAATTCCTTCTGTTTTTACCCACCTGGTCACTTTTGGATGTGAATCTTCCAGAACATTCCCCTCACCCTCTGACACCTATGAAGAGAACACAAGTTGAAATCAGACACAAGCTGTTTAATATCCATATCCTGCATTTTAAAATGTATCATCTACATATTTCACAACAACAATGATTGAAATCATTCTGATCCCAGTTCAGGATTCTGCTATCCATGTTTAGGCTGTGTACTTATTTGGCTTAATTCATATTCTATTACTAATGTGTGCTTTTTTTTCTCTATATTTAATACATTAACTTTATACAAAGAGTAAGCTAAATACTAATACAATAATTCAGATTCTTATCAAAGTCAACTTTATTGTCAATCTTTCCGTTTGTGTGAACAGACAGAGAGATCGAAATACCGTTTCCAACAATCCCGAATACAAAGATACAAATATATATAAAAACATGTATAAAATATGTTTATCCTATAAATACAAAATCAACAGACACATTTCTGCATGTGCACACATTAAGATACAAACACAACAATCAATATGCACAAAATAACAGTCACTTCAATATCTTTGGGAATTATTCCTCTTTTTTCCTCCGAATACTTGTTTATTTCTTTAGTCAAACTGTTTGTGATGTGTGTGTGTGTGTGTGTGTGTGTGTGTGTGTGTGTGTGTGTGTGTGTGTGTGTGTGTGTGTGTGTGTGTGTGTGTGAGTCCCAGAGCATCAGAGCTTGGAGGGAAGAAGAAGACAGAGCGAGAGGAAAGGCAGATAAGAGATGAAGACCTCTCTCCTCCTCTCTCTGGCCTGCTTTGCGCAGAGTATCTCATGACGGAGAGTTTAGGGCTGTTTAATGCTAGGTGACACAGCGCTGTCCTGCAGTCTTTTCTTTCTCAATCCCTGGCATCTTCGCTAAAAGATCTCTCCCAAGAATCGGCGCTCGTTTCTGGCATCCAGCCGCCGCAGGGAAGGGGAGATTGTCAGGCCGCATTTCTTCTTCTGCTCGCCAGCCATTCCTCAGGAGGGTTGTGTTTGTGTGTGTGTGTGTGTGTGTGTGTGTGTGTGTGTGTGTGTGTGTGTGTGTGTGTGTGTGTGTATGGATGCATCTCCCCCCTTTTTGGAGAGTTAGGTAAACTGAGGGGAAGGAGGGGGAGAAGAAGGAGAGGTGGCAGCTTCCCCCCATGGAGAACAATTCCACCTTAAGCTCTTTCTTTTGGAAATGACGGGAATGTTTTCTCGTGTATCGCTCTTGTCACCTTGCCTGCAACATGACCGCAAACAAGCTAAAGTGAAACTCACTGATGCGTTTGGAGGAAGGAGGAAGAAAGGGGGGAAGAGGAGGAGGAGGAGGAGGAAGAGGAGGAGGAGGAAGATGCCGGCGGGCGGGTGTTTGGTGTCATCCTCTGATAGCGGGTTGTGTTTGGCCGGAGGAGGTTTGTACAGAGGGATGCTGTGTGTGTGTGTGTGTGTGTGTGTGTGTGTGTGTGTGTGTGTGTGTGTGTGTGTGTGTGTGTGTGTGTCCGGTAATCTCCATGACCTCCTGCCCAGGCGAGGAGGAGACAGTGTGAGGCCGAAGATTTCTCCTCTCCCTCCTCGATGATGCATTCAGTGGAGCTGGGAACACTGTAATCCACAATGTGCCCTCCAAACTGTGTGTTTAGGGACTATTAGCCACACAGAATCTTAAAAAATGACACGTATAATAAGTCATGAAAGCAGGTCATTAAGTAAATCATAACGCATGCTTTTTATTTCATGGACTCAGGCTTGCATGTATGTATGTTTAAAGGTCTTTAACTGTAAAAACTGTGACTACTTAAGGTGGACGACTTTGACTTTTTTAACAGTGTCACATCTCTCTGACCTGGTTTTAATCATATTACTCTTCTTCCAAATCTGTATATGTGTAAACTCAACTTCTCTGTGTTTGACCTATTCTTATTGTTGTTATTTTTATTTATACTGTTGTATGTTTTGTCCCGTGTTTTAGACTTAGAGTATAATGCTTATGTCCTATCCGGAATACAAGTGTATCATATCTTATCTCATCTCATATGATCTTATATGAGATGTTGTTTGCTGGTAACATATACTCACTTTGACATAATATCCGTGTGTTAACATTTCTCAGCGTGTGCCTCCAGCCAGCAGGCAGGGTTGCAGATTTAACCTGAGCTGATTATCATGCGGACCATGTACAGTATACGATCGCTTCTCTCAAATTCAATCCAAGAACAAATAACTGGTGGCAAACTTTTAGAGCACTATCACCGGTTCATAAAACAGCTGAGGTCAGAGGCTGAATCGTGTGGAGTCAATCCAAACTTTTAGAGCGATACAAACACAAAAACCTCAACTTCTTCTTTGATTCCAGCACCACTGCCTCAAAACAGTAGTGCATTTCAAAAATACATATAACTGAAACAGCGTGTACTTAGCAGACATTTGTTTAAAATCTTTGACTTCTGTAAAGGCACAAGTAGTTCCAAACTGATACATTTCAAAGTAGTCTTTTATGCCCTGCTTTTTCAAATGTATCACATTACCTCAAATATGTTAGAATACCAGTTTTGACTGTGTGTCTCAAGCCTGCTTCCCTTAGACAAACTTCAAAGTAAATCGTTGAGGAAGCCAAATAAAAAGCGTGGTTTTGGTGCACTTGGGTTAGAAAAGAGTAACTTGTCTTTCTGCAGCAGCAGATAAGGCCGGGGTCGACCCCCCCCCCTCCCGTCTAGGAAAACCAAGTTTCCCCCAATCAAAAGTTCCATTAACCTGCAGCTCCGGGAGCTAATTGAGAGCGGAGAGGGGTGAGATGTATCACCGTGTCGCCACGGCAACGTGCCGGCGTAAGCACGCGTCATACGGAGACGCGTGCTGACATATTTGTAATTATCTGGGATAAGAAGACACGGAATACGGCAACAAAACAGGGGTGAGAGTTACGGCTCCTCCGGGAAAAGACAATGAGCAGGAAGACGTTTCCACCCTTTGATAACCCAGATCATGTGTAAGGCATTAGGAGACGCAGGGGGAAATCTGCATTACTGTGTTGAAGATTTATAAATCTTCACACATGGTGGTGGGAGATCACCAGTTCATTATGTTTTGCAGCGTTTTTTTAATGGTTGTGTTCCTCTTATCTCCTCGAGAGGGGGAGAGATATTCTAATCTGTCGCCCCAATAGCCTTAAGCCCTGGTACGGCGATGGGCCAACTTTTGTTCCACTTAATCCCTCCACCCCAGCGAGGGGAGGTCATGTTTGTCAAAATGTGGCGTAGTGAACATGGGAATTTCTTTCCCCCTCCACCTCCCCTCTCCTTCTTCTTCCCTGGCTTAATTTGGAATTAAAAATGCATGCGATTTTGAACTTTAGATCTCTGGAGAGAGCCGTAAACAAGTATGAAATTAAGTGTCTTTGGAAATGCTGCGGCAGGGACGTGAATCGAATCGAGACGCTCGCATTATCCAGCCTTCAGAAGGGTGGCGGTGACCAGAGTGGCCTCTCCAGTCAAATCACTCACAAGCTGAGGAAAACAGAGCACATTTGAACACTGACTCAAAGTGAGCAGAATTGATGCAAATGTGAATATATCACATTTTAAAGGTGTTTTATCATCACTGTAAAGGTTTACATAGAGATACAAAGCTATGGATGAAAATATAAAAATGAAATCAAGCTTAGAAGTCAATAAAATGCCTCCATGATATTCAGCATAATATTAATGAGGGTCCTTAGAAATGTTGCAATACCAGAAAAAAAAATCTCTATGACTTTAAAAAAAGAAATTCAGCCAAAAAAAATGAAATATTTGTCACTGCAAGAAGACGTTTTCTAATACATAACAACTTGCTACAAGAACTTTAAAAAAATGTGTGTGTTGAGAAAATGCTAATTAATAGATGGATAAAAGACCCCGGACTAATGTCAGTTTTCACCTGATAAAAGCACAAGATGAAAGCCAAACCAATAAAGAAACAGGTTCACTGTATGCAACCCATTCCCCATTCACATTCACTTTGAATTATTTTAATTTCTGACCAAAACCTGAACTGTTAGCTGAACAATATGTCGACTTTTCGCTTTTTCCATCTGCAGCAAATCTCCATCAAGGCCTTTCCATCTTTCACCCGCAGAATGACTAAAAACCGAACGCTTCCAACCTCTCTCTGCTTCCCTTAATAACATTGACTGGATCTTCACTTTGCTAACTATACATTTGTCTCCGTGTGTGATAGCGTCCTAATATTTACACCTTTCTTTGAGCCCCGCCGCTCCGGGCTCATTAGCAGCAGCAACATTTGTCCCCGTGTAATCGCGGGTCGTGCCGAGGTCATGCGGCACCTTAAGTAAGAGACGAAGCTTCCTGTTCTCCCTCAGGCCAGCCGCGGCGACTTGTTAAGCAAATCTGCATCGTAATGGGCGATTAGTATTCATTTCTGTGTCCTATTTCTACACCCTGCATACACGTGTGACTTCATAGTGCTTAGGGTTTCTCAGGGTTCTCTTTAAAAAGACTTACATGCTATTTGGTAAAAAAAAAGAACTCCAACATTTAAGCAACTCTTAAGTGGATCTCTTCAAAAGCACATGCCCACAGCTGTGAGGAGACTTCTGTTTACACTTAAAACACTGAGATATGCTCACGGTTATGGAATGTAAACTGTAGAATTAAGCAGTTGTGATCCTACAAGGGTCAGAGGTCATGGTAACACAAGAAGTCTACCAGTGTATTTACATTTCAGGAAATAAGGAGCCGCGAAATGACGACGAATGAAACAAGGCTAGGCTACATGATGCTCAATTTTTGTTCCATGTGCATTGGTCAGAAACCCTTTATTCATCCCTTGGGGCCAATTGGATTTTGTAACATTTGCTCTATTAAAGAATTACAAAATAATCAAATATATAGTTATATAAAAATAGCGAAGTTAAAGTAAAAAAGTCAATAAAAAACCTAAATTGCACATTAACACTACTCTACATTTAGATGACAGTTATTAAACAAAAAAATATTCACAATTATTCAAATTTGCTATTATAAATCATGCATTATTGGTAAAGTCAATATTTGTCCAA